CCCGCATCCATGCAGCAGCGTTCGTAACAAATAAGAATAATTAAATTAAGAATAAAATTATAAAGAGTTTTAGATAATTTAATTTAAATTTTAAAAAGACAAAGATATTAAATTTCTTAGACTTACTAGTCTAGATAAATATATAGTTCTATAATCTTAATAGATAAAATTAATTAAAACTTATTACTTTTAATAAGTCTTTTATCTTTTTAAGGTATATAAAGTTATTATAAAGTAAAAGGTAGTATAATATAGAAATTAAATAAGATAAAAAGTTAATAGAAGAATAAGGAGTATGATTTTTATCTTAAAATAGCTATTTTTTATAAGAAAAGAGCCTCTTTTATATAGATAATTAACTAAAAGGTTTATTTAATTCTAGACCTTTATTTAGATTTAATATTATTATATATCTTATTTATATTTATTTAAATAAACATTAAATTATTTATTTAGTTAAGAACTATTATTTACTCTAAAATATAAAGTTATTAAGTAGAATTAAACTTTTAAGTCGACACGTCGCAAAATGCGGGGGAGGAACGCTTCGGAGCTCCTGGATTGCCTCATTAACAGCCTACCTTGCCATGTGTAATGCCATGCATTTGTATACAGCGCAGCCCGGGGTGCTCAAGTGAAGTGCGCGCCCAATGATGCATAGCTTCCTTCTTCAGTGAATTTGCGCGATAGCTTTCAGGACGTAAATAGAGACATTTGTTAAAGTAAGACGCAAAGACAAAAGAGTACCAACGGACGCTGGCTAGCCCTTGCGATGGCGACTGGCATGAAAATACCCGATATGACTGTCAAGGTTCAAGTCTCGTTCAATTTCGTGAATCCCTTAGATATATACATGCCTAGCAACTGGAATAGATTTATTGTATATAAATACCAAAAAAACGCCATGCAGTCAACCGTGAAGCCCAACCAACAATATCAAGGGAACAATATGTGAATTAAGTTTAGACATCTAATGATGATGCCCACCATGGGCGTCTCCCTCGCCCGTCTGGAACAGCTCATGAAACTCATCCGACATGGGCACGGCCTTGAAATTCTCCGGCTTCCTCATCTCCGTAAACGCCTTTGTGTCGCGGATCATGGTGCGCTCATGCCAGTCGAGAATGGCGTCGAAGTCGCGGCACTTCTTGTTGATGCTAAAGTCGGGAAAGGGATGTGCCTGGCCCTCCACCCACGGCTGCGTAATCACGTCGGCGGTCGCGGCGCACATGAGGTTCTGCAGTATGACGTAGATGCAGTGGTCGGTGTGGATGCGGTGCAGTTCTGGAAAGTCACCGTTCGGGTAGTCGTCGCCAAAGTAGTGCTTCCAGTGAACGTCACGCCGGACGGCGTTGAGGCAGTGGATCGTGTGCAACACGTCGAGCTCCGCCACGTGTGCCTCCGGGCCGAAACCCCAGTCCTCTGACCACCGGGCCGTCTGCGAGGGGTCCTTGCCCAGACGGACCACGTCGTCGGTGCTGATGACGTGCGGCATGAGGCTGCTGACGCGTTCCCAGGCGGCGTCTACCTCGGGCGACGGGGGGGAACGGAATAGTGAGTGGTCCATATTGAGTAGGCTTCCGTTTACCTTTTTGTCGACAATGTCAATCTGCACCTCGTTGTGAATTGGTGCTTGCAAAGGGTTAGAACAGTTATACCAGGATCTGGCGCAGTAGGGGAATAATGTTTAGCGAATTCGTACAATACCAGTCGCTGATGCGAAGTAGTTCATTGTTGCGGTTGAGTCGTACGTCTTCCCTGTAACGAAATCCCTTGGAGATGCAGAATGCCGACACCACGAGCAGGAAGAGGTTGATGCCCGAAATAATGTAGAGGGTTCGTCTGTATGGGTTTCTCAGAAGAAGGGGGTTAATATTTTGGCACCGCGAAGATCCGACTTGACCTAGTTCCTCCTCTGGGACGGGGATGAATTGCCTCTTCTCTGCCGCAGAATACGATGGAGGCGTGGAGGGAGGTAGCAATTGTTTCAAAAAGGACAGCATCATAGCAAAGCCCATAAAAGATATCAGAAAAGCAATGTATACAATTATCAAATGCAACCAAACGTGATTCAAGACGTCTCTCAAGCAATAGAGCCAATGTCTATTTATTATCATTTGTTTTCAGTTGCTACGACCAGAGTTGTTGGTAACCTCCCAGCATCATCAAATCATCTATTGAGTAAAATCTACACCGAAGAGTTCCTTGACGAATTTAATTCTGGTGTATGACTGTAAGCTTATGTCTTGCCACCATCGCCAAGTGTATCTCGTGTTTTCGAACCGCTGAGGTGCTTGCCATGAGCTGCGACGCCTCCATCATCTCATAGTCAGTACGGGACCGGAATGACATCTTTTTCAATCATCAATTGAAATTGATCACTGTGCACTTATTGTCGTCTTCAAAGTTGACGACGCTCGCTCCACAGGAAAGACTACCCTTGTCTTTTGGCATGTCAGCTGAGTCCCGAAACCAGTGGGGTCCAGCCCGTGAGATGACGCCGCCTCATGCCTGGAAGATCGATTGAGTTCCTGGTGATAGGTTCTAGTCGGGCAATCTCTTGTGGCACGGCGATTTTGGTCCAGGCACAAGTGGGCAGGTGTCAGCAGTAGGCACCAGGCACCTTGCGACCCCCAATCTGAGCCGGGGTCGCGCATCTTTCTCACCCTGCGTCCCCCGCACCGTGCTCACAAGACATGCTCAGCTTTCACAAGGCAGAGCTGTTGATGATGGCCCAAGATCGCGCAGAGACCCCACCACTGCTCGTTTTAGCGGTAGTGCCCCTGGCGCTGATGACCGTCAACGCACGGTGCTTATTAGGCTCTGCTGCGGGTTATGATGGCCTTTGGAAGCGACATCAAAGGCGGGTACCGAGGTTTCTGTGACCGTGTGCTCCTGCTCACAGCTAATCTCACCTGGATTCGAAGCAGCGGAGCTAATCTCAGCCGAAATACTCTCAGCGTACCACCAGCAGTCCAGGAAACAGTGTGGCCATGGAGATGAACACCGTAAAGTAACAAGTCCATGAAGGTCCAGATGTCTATATAACGAGATCATTGCACCTAGATTACGGCAATTTGTTTCTCATCGACAACAACGTCAAAAACTACAAGGATTATCCAAACTCTCCTCTCCGCACAACTACAATCTACTGTCAACTCTCCACCCTCTACTCTACAACTCTACATCTTCAATCCCCTCACTTTATCAGTCAGCATCCCTCAAAATGCGCTTCACCGAGAGTATTGTTTTGGCAATTCTTGCCGCCACCACTTCCGCCGCCCCAGTTGAGAACAAAGCTGGCGACAAGCGCACCCCCGCCGCTGGCAAGGAATACCTGCACTTGGCCGGCGATGTCCTC